TTCTTAAATATTATTTAATCTTTTCACTATGGCAGGAGCAACATTTAGAATCCCTGCTTTGCAGCTCCTCCCCAGGCCAAGATTCCCTGTGACCACAACAAACTGAGAATGGATTTATCAGGAGAAAGCAATTTTGAGAAGCAAAGAGGCTCTGGAGGAGAAAAAAGGAGCTTCTGTCTGCTCAGAGCAGACTCTGCAGGGCTATAAGTGTTGGGCACCTCACAAATATTTCATGTTGGCTTCAACTGTGACCYCTAAGCCCAGCCTCWMTCCTGACCAGCACCTGCAGCTRAAAATAACCTTTAAAACACATCTAAAATTCAATACATTCGGCCCTAAGCTGCAGAGAGGAGAGAAATGAGAACAAGTTACCTTGTGCTGCTATAAATTTATTCTTTTCTTTATAACCCTGTGGAAATAAAGACAACACAAATTAAAAGGTGAAAGGCCAACATATGCTGGCAGAAAATCACTTTAAATCCCCAAATTTGGTTAGTTGTGGGCAACTCCCAACTCACATCTATATAGGATGCATTAATGTAGTCTGAAGGTGGGACTCCATCAATTTGGGTCAAAACCACTCTGGAATGATCATCTGAAAGAAAGCCAAGCACATTGGGAGGTTAATGAATCTGAAATATGGGATTGCCTGGCAAGGAGGAGGCCTGGGAAGCACAGAGCTCCCAGACAGTGCATGAAAGAGCATTTCTGACCACTGAAATTGGTATTGCCTGAGCATTTCCAGCACATGAACACCACCAGCAGCCAACTCAGGGCCAACATTAACTCAYTTAAAGGAAAGGGAATGGCTTACATGGCAGGATGTTGGGATATCTGTTCTTCTCCCTGTTTTCTTCCTTATTGGCCATTTCAAATGTTCCTTGYACATACCCAGATGTTAAAGACTGGAAAAAAAAAAAACAAAATAGAGAGTCAATGTGTCAGAAAACAAATAATTTTGACTGGCAATGGCTCAGGGAAAATTTTCCTCCAACAGAACCAAACACCAAACGCCTCGCTCGGGTCTGCAGGTGAGACCTGATTCCCACAGAAAAAAGGGAAGGAAAAATCTGCTGTGGGTTTTTTTACGAGCTCAAGGTGAGTTCTGCGAGAGATCAGCGAGAGCGAAGGGTGCAGATAAATTCAGTCTGGCTTAAAAAAACCCAAACAGTCGTGGAGAGTGATAAATCAAAGGGAAAAACAGAGAGGAGGGAGAAGATGAGAGCAAGAAAATGGCCTGGGTGAAGAGAGAAGGAGGAGATGTCCATGGGGAAGATGGAAGGAGATGCCCAGGGTGGAGATGGAAGGAGATGCCCAGGGGAAGAGGGAAGAAGGAGATGCCCAGGGTGAAGAGAGAAGAAGGAGATGCCCAGGGTGAAGATGGAAGGAGAAGATGCCCAGGGTGGATTATGAGAATGAGGAGATGCCCAGGGTGAAGAGAGAAGGAGGAGATGTCCATGGGGGAAGGTGGAAGGAGATGCCCAGGGTGGAGATGGAAGGAGGAGATGCCCAGGGTGGAGATGGAAGGAGGAGATGCCCAGGGTGAAGATGGAAAGAGATGCCAGGGTGAAAATACAAGAAGGAGATGCCCAGGGGAAGATGGAAGGAGGAGATGCCCAGAGAAAGATGGAAAGAGATGCCCAGAGAAAGATGGAAAGAGATGCCCAGGGTGAAGATGGAAGGAGGAGATGCCCAGGATGGAGATGGAAGGAGGAGTTGCCCACTGTTCTCCACAGCTGAGAGCCACTGCTGCAAATGGACCACAGCAGAAAGGGATTTCAGGAATTTCCTTTAACTGAACTCCAAACCCCGCCAGTGTCACTGTTTTACCCCACTGAGGTGAAATCCCAGTGGKTTGGGAAGGCACAGCCCCTTCTCCCCACCCTGCAGCTCCCAGTGCCCGGTTTGAGTCACACAGGGCACAGAAAAACAGTCAGGGAGGGCATGGCTGAACTCTGGCTGGCAGAGCGGGGTTGGAATTGCCCTGAAAACTGTGACAGGGCTGTCAGGGTCAGCAAGGAGCAGAGGGGGATCCTCCACCACAGAGCAAACAGCACTTAACATTCCTTGGGTTGGTTTGTTGGGGCTTTTGTGCCCCTTGGAGCTGTGAAAGCACCAGAAAGGACGTTCAGAGAGTGTTGGGCAAGAAATCTGCTTTCAGCAGGSTGCTTAATGTCTGAGCTGAATGGAGCTCAGGGCTGTTTATCAGCCCATTCTGCTGATTTAAATACATTTATGATTTATGAGACACCAAAGCTGGATTTTGGTGTGAAAATAAATAGTGGGAGGGGWCCCTGYCCATGGCAGGATGATCTTGAAGCTCCTTCCAACCCAAACCCTTCTGTGATTCTATGAAATAATTACATCTTTAAATCAAATTTCTTCAAACTGAAGTCAGGCATCAAATTCTCAACTAACAATTAGAGAACTTCTGCATTTTTTAAGTGAAAAATGCATGGAAAAATAATTATTTTGGGCCAAATCCCCCCCTCCACCCCCTGCTGCTGGCCCCTCCAAGGTTTTGGCACCCTCCCTGTGCCCCGAGCAGGGCAGAGCCCGGCTCCCTGCCCCACCCAGTGAGGATGTGATTCACTCAGGATGCTCCTCCTCATCACCCCCATCACGAGGGGCTGAGTCCTGCTGCCTCTGGSTCACTCTGACCTGTCCCCAAACCCCAGTGAAGCTGTGAGAGGCTCAATCCACCCAGGACCAGCACATTTCCTCCTTTTTTAGCACCGAGTGAGCCACAGGGACACCTTAATCAAGCCACAATCAAAAATCCAAAACTCCTACAGGAAGCTTTTCAGTAAAAAAATCGAGGCAATAATCCCATTCCAACATCCAGCTTCCATTAGGGAAGATATTTTTGTTCCCCCCTGCCCCGTTTTTGGCCATCCACGTGTAAAAACTTACATTGAACTCCTCCCTGAAGAGTTTCCCTTCRTCTGCTGAGCGTATCCGAATTTCCTCCTCCAGGTTTTCCACTGGGATGGGGAAATACTTCTTGGGGCCCGAGGGAGATCTGCTGAGCAGCATGACCCGTTGCTGTTCTGTCAGGACAAGAGCAGTGAGTGTTAAGGGATATCCAGAGCAAGAAATTCCAGCTACAAATTAATCTGAATGCTGGAAAATGCTAAATTTCTCCTGCACAACTCCATTTGGTGATAAAGCAGATTTAAAGCAAATTAAAAAAACAAATTGTAGGCCAAGTGTTGGTGAAAGGAATGGTTTTTGTATTGAGACTGGATTAAAATGTGACTGAGTTTTATTCAGAAAAGGAGAAGTTTCCCTCTGCTCGCAGGACAGGCACTGCAGAGGCAGCTTTTAGCACCAAGGAGATGCTGTGAGATTGTTTCATTTCAACGGGAAAAAAATCCCCCCAAAAAAACCCGAAAAACCAAAACAAACCAAAAACCCCACAAAACCCAAAACAACCAAACAAAAAAATCCAAGAAAAGAACCCCCCCCAAAAAAAAAATCCAAGAGCCAAAACCCAATAACAACAACAATAATAATAACAATGTTAATAAGATCAATACTAATAGTAAATAATAATAATAATAATAATAATAATAATAATAATAATAATAATAATAATAATAGCAGTAGTAGTAGTAATAATAATAATAATAATAATAATAATGACAATAAAGTCTCTTTAACTTGTCAGCCAGCAGAAACTGTGCCCCAAGAGGAGCTACCCCACTGTGCCCAAGCCCTGGCCCAGCAGGAAGCTGATGGGTATTTTTAGGGTTTGCCTTTCCCTCTGACTGCCACCCTCTAACTCAGCCATGGCTTGACACATGGCCAAGTGGAGCTGGCACAAAGCAGGGGCTGATTTATCTGTAACTGTGTCTTTTTCTTGCACAGCCCTGCAGGTTTGTGGGGTTTGAGCTGGGCCCCACAGAGGAGCCAGCCCCGTGGGCGGAAACCAACCCAGCACAGCTCAAACACTTTTAACTCCTCTGAGGGTTTGATTTCAGTGCTTTTGGCTCCAAACTGCCCCGTCTCAGCCCCCTGCTTCACCTTCAAAAAGCACRCAGTGAATTCACAAAAAATTCAGGGCTTTTCTCCCCCATTTTAAGAAGAAATGTGATTCTTTCTCTAAACACAAACATATGGTGTCAGAAATTTGGATCTCTGATAAAACACCTCCAAAGAGCCCAGGCAAGTTTTACACAGAAACGTTTGCTGATCACAACTTAAAGTGAAACTTATTTAAAACCAGCAGCCGGAAGGTCAGGTTTTATACAGACTGCTTTAATATGGATTTCTAAATATGGATCTCTATTCCAAGGCCAGTTTGGATGGGACAGCCAAGCATTGGAAGGTGTCCCTGGCCATGGCATGAGGGTTGGAATTGGATGAGCTTTAAAGTCCCTTCCAACCCAAATCATTTGTGATTACATTTTTTTAAACTAATTTATCTTTAACAACAACCCTGCCACTTAGATTATAAACAAAACAAACGTGAGAGAGTCATTCTGGATTAAAGCTGTGTGCACACACAAACAAAAGTGAGAGTTTGGAAGCAAATCTCTCCATACCTTGCTCTTCCAAGATCCCATTCGGCATCTTTTTGTCGCCGGAGGTCACCACGGCTTTCCTGTGCCTCCTGAACCTGAAAGGGGACACTGTGTCAACCTGGCAGCCCTGGCAGGAGGAACCCAGTGTTTCCCCCAGCCCTTTTCACCAACCATGGGATCCTGGAGAAACCCAACATTTCCAGCAACCATGTAATCCTAGAGAAACTCAGCATTTCCACCAACCCTTTTCACCAACCATGTAATCCTAAAGGAATTCAACCTTTTCCCCCCAACCCTTTCCAACAACCACATAATCCTAGAGGAACCGAGTGTTTCCCTCAGCCCTTTCCACCAACCACAGTATCCCAGAGAAACCCAGCATTTCCACTGACCATGTGATCCTAGAGAAGCCCAACGTTTTCCTTAGCCCTTTCCACCAACCATGTAATCCTAGAGAAATCAAACATTTCCCTCCAACCCTTTCCACTGATAATATAATCCTAGAGGAACCCAGCGTTTCCCTCCAACCCTTCCACTGACCATGTAATCCTGAAGAAACTTAGAATTTCCCCTAACCCTTTTCACCCTTTTCAGCCATTTAATCCTAGAGGAACACAACATTTCCCCCAAACCTTTTCACCAATCATGTAATCCTAGAGAAACTCAGCATTTCCCCCCAGCCCTTTCTACCGACCACACAATCCTAGAGGAACTCAGTGTTTCCCCCAGCCCTTTCCACCCACCAGGTAATCCTGGAGAAACCCAGCATTTCCACTGATCATGTAATCCTAGAGGAACACAACATTTCCCCCAACCCTTTTCACCAACCATGTAATCCTAGAGAAACACATTGCCCCCCAGCCCTTTCCACCTACCACATAATCTAAGAAAAACTCAGCATTTCCCCCAACTCTTTTCACCGACCACGTAATCCTGAAAAAACCAAACATTTCCCCCAAACCCTTTTCACCAACCATGTAACTCTGGAGAAACTCAACATTTTCCCCAACCCTTTTTGTCAACCATGTAATTTTAGAGAAATCAAACATTTCCCTCCAACCCTTTCCACTGACCATGTAATCCTAAAGAAACTCAGCATTTCCCCCAATCCTTTTCACCAACCATGTAATCCTGAAGAAACCAAACATTTCCCCCAAACCCTTTTCACCAACCCACATAATCCTAGAGGAACTCAGTGTTTCCCCCAACCCTTTCCACCAATCATACAATCCTAGAGGAACCCAATGTTTTCCTCAGCCCCTTCCACCAACCATGTAATCCTGAAGAAACCAAACATTTCCCCCAATCCTTTCCACCAACCACGTAATCCTAGAGGAGCCCAGTGTTTCCCCAAGCCCTTTCCACCGACCACATAATCCTAGAAAAACTCAACATTTCCCCCAACCCTTTTCAAAAACCACACAATCCTAGAGGAACCCAGTGTTTCCCTCAACCCTTTTCACCGACCATGCAATCCTACAGGAACCCAACATTTTCCCCAACCCTTTTCACCAACCATACAATCCTAGAGGGACACAACATTTCCCCCAACCCTTTCCCCCAACCATGTAATCCTGGAGAAACTCAGCATTTCCCCCCAGCCCTTTCACCGACCACGCAATTTTGGAGAAACTCAGCATTTCCCTCAACCCTTTTTACCAACCATGTAATCCTAGAGGAATACAACATTTCCCCCAGCCCTTTCCACCCACCAGGTAATCCTAGAGAAACCCAGCATTCCCATTGATCATGTAATCCTGAAGAAACCAAACATTTCCCCAATCCTTTCCACCAACCACGTAATCCTAGAGGAGCCCAGTGTTTCCCCCAGCCCTTTCCACCGACCACATAATTCTAGAGAAACTCAGCATTTCCCCCCAACCCTTCTCACCGACCATGTAAACCTAGAGGAATCTAACATCTTCCCAACCCTTTCCACCAACCATGTAATCCTAGAGAAACACAACATTTCCCCCCAGCCCTTTTYACYGACMATGTAATCCTGAAGAAATTTATCATTTCCCCCCAACCCTTTCCACMAACCACACAATCCTAGAGGAGCCCAGTGTTTCCCCARCCCTTTCCACCCACCAGGTAATCCTGGAGAAGCTCTTTCTGTTCATGCTGGCAGCGGGCGTGGGGCGGGCACGGCTCCTCTGCGGCCCCGCAGCCGCCGCCTCCCCTTTGGCTGCCGTGGGAGGGCTCAGGGGATGGGGCTGAGCTCTGCCCGGCCCCACCAACACCCACCTGAAAAAATACCCCGCCAGCACCACGAAAATGAGCACCACCAGCACCAGGATCAGCAGGGACGTCAGCAGCTCCTTGTGCAGGCTGTTCTCCTCGGTGGAGTCTGCRGAGGGAAGGCAGGAAATGTGGGATACGGGACGTGGGTTTTTTTATCTGCTCCGTGCATCAAAAATTCTACCTCTGCTCACTGAAAGCATCAGAATTACTCGACATGGGCAAAACTCAAATCAAAAGTTCAATTTTTTTTTTTTTTTCTGGTTTTTCCCCCCTTTCAAAAGCATAGCCAAACTAGTGCCGCTGAGAAAATCGAGGGTATTTTCTGGAATGGCTGGTTAAACAATTTACTGTAGTCAGAGAAGGCTGAATGGGTATTAAGCTGAAAATGAAACCCATTTAAAGGTTTGCTGCAATGCCCCTGTGAACATCAGCTGCTTCTCAACCAGAAACCATCCAAAAATACCTTTCACAGAAACTTTRTTGAGTTATATTCTATAGAAATATAAAAATGAGCAGGAATAATGACATTTTCCTCAAAGAACATGTCTGTTGTATCTGGTACAAACTAGGAGTTCACCCTTCTGCTCGCAACGTTTTGTGGATGTGCCTCTCTACCTTTCACTTTCATTTTGCTTCTGTAACCTTTTAGTTCTGCTAAATAATTCAGCACAGAACAGATTAAAATCATTAAAAACCCATGTTTTATTTAAGGAAGCCAAAACCCAGCCTGAACCTTCAGCGAGCAGAACACAAAACCGCCACAACCGCTCTTCCAAAATTAAGGCAATTTCTGTCGCCGCTCATGTTTTAGACTTTTTTTCCCTTTTAAATGACATTTACAGGCTTCTAATGAGGTTTTTTACCATTCCCTCTTTGAGAGCTGAGCAATGAAAGGGTTGGATGGGATATTGGGAAGGAATTTTTGGCTGGGAAGGTGGTAAGAGGCTGGGATGGAATTCCCAAAGAAGCTGTGGCTGCTCCTGGATCCCTGGAAATGTCCAAGGCCAGGCTGGATGGAGCTTGAAGCAGCCTGGGACAGTGGAAGGTGTCTCTGATCATGACATTCCATGGGTGGAATGGGATGATTTTTAAGGTGCCTTCCAACCCAAATCAGTCTGGGATTCAATAAAATACTTAAGAGTCCATAACACCTGTGATAATTCAAGACGGAATCTTGTGGACCACAAAAAGACCCAGAACTGAGGGCTGCAAACCCAAACTGGGCCTTGGGAGCAGCTGGAAACCCTCTGGGTGCTCAACCAGGAAAAAAATCCCTTTGGAGGCATGGGTGAGCTGGGGACACACGGGGAACGAAGGTCTCACAGTCAGGATCATAACCCAGAGCTGGGGAAGGCAATAAAACACACGGGAGATGACATTTAAGTGGAGTTTGAAGATAAAAGTGACAGGCACGACAAAATCGTAATCAGAAGCCACAGTTTGGCAGGATTTCAGGAAATCCCTCTTGGAAGGAGTGTCTGGATGAAGATGAATCACCGGCGAACACTTTCTGTGCCGTGTTTGGCAACTCCTCCAGCCCGGGATACAAACACCAAAAATCCCTTTTTTTTTGTCAATCACAGACAAAATGGAGCTGCTATGATGAAGGAATGAATTTTGCCTTTTTTTCTTTTCTATATTTGTAACTTTTCCTGACCCTTTTCCACAGCTGGAAGGCCAAACACATCCCAGAGCTCCCAGCCCAGGTTCCCAAATCCCATCCTGGTTCTTCCTGGGAACCAAGAGGTCTTTGAGATCCATTTTGGTCAATAAATACAGCTGGGACTGAAGATGGGGAGCTCCAGAGAAGGGGCTTGACCTCGGAGGAATTACATTACCACTTGTCCTCCTAATTGATGCTTTTTATCAATTATGCTAATTTTCTAAAATCTACCRAACTGCATTCACCGCTATGGGGGGGCTTTTGTGGATATCCTTCCATGACTGCCCCAGAACCCCAATAAAAATCCACTTTTATATCACTTCTATAMTAAAATCATCTCGAGTTTCATTTCTAAGCTAAAAAAAGACAACTTCAGCTCACTTCTGGAGTTCAGAAATGTCAGCCTTGGGATCCTGCAGGATTTGGGGTTTGAGTCTCTTTGGTTCTGTGACAACACCCACAGCACAGCGGGGGGAGAACAAGTCTGCATCACGAGGGAATTAAAATTCCCCTCAGCCCATTACACAGCAAAAAAAACCAACCCAATCTGCCTTTCACAGAACTGCTGCACCATTTTCGGGGTGTCTTTGGAGAAGTGATTCCCAGGCACACACTGAAAGCTCAATCCAAGCCAGGAGAAGTTGAACCTTCTGCCAAATTACAGCCCCATCTCATCAGYCGAGGACAGAGCACCCCACCATGACTGAGACAATTCTCTGTCCTGAGATCTCACCTCTCCTCCCACCATTTCCCGAGGAAATGAGGTCAAAACCCACAAAAAGTCCCTTCATCTTTGTGCCTGGGCACATCTGGTCCCAAATCCTCACAGCTGCTCACCAATAGCATCACCCCTGCACAGCCTGTGAGCAAGGCATGATGTGGTTTCATTTTTTTCATTTTACTGTATTTTTTTCTTATCAATAAATTTATAAATGTAGCCCAAAAATTGCATGAGAAGGTTTAAAACTGTGCTCAGGCCTTTGCAGACTCAGAGGCTGAAAGGTCTCTGGCCAACACAGCTGTCTCCAGACCAAGGTGTGGTTTAAGGGGAGACTGAAACAAAGGCCTGAAATAATTTTTTAAACCCTGCTGCCTCCAAAATTGACAACTGAACCGTGGGAGTGAATGGGTGCAGGAGAGGAAAACCCTCCAGAGCACAAAAACCTTTCCTCTSCTCCCACTGCAAGAGCTGGGACCCAAACCTGCTGGGATTTCTGTTCACAGCCAGCCAAAAATACCCAGGGGTGTTGTTCAGAGATAAAATGAAATTAGACAAAATGAAATTAGATAAAATGAAATAATGATGTCAATGTTGGCAGGAGAGGGGCACTGTCACCAGGAAGATGTGACAGCCCCTTGTGCTCCCCTGGCACCCAGCAGGGCTGACCCAGGGCTGTCCCTGGCCCAATTCCTGGTTCTGCTGGCCCAATTCCTGGTTCTGCTGGGCCAAAGCTCCTCCTGGAAGTTCATCCCCATTTCCTACAGGGCTGGGGTGTTCCCACTCTCCAGATGGGTCAAACACCAGGAAAAAGGGAATTTACAGCAGCCTGTGCACATCAGCAGCTGCTCCGTGATCCTGCCCTCCAAACTTTGCTTTTCTCCATCCTTGGATCAGTTCCTTTGCATTTTTGGGTAAAATGGCCCATGAATAAARGTGTGATTAAAACACTTTTTCTCCCCCCACCAAAGCAATCCTTAATCCTGAAATTATTCTGGCAAATGACAAAATAAAATTTTGTTTAACCGAGCACAGGAGAGACCCCACAACAAYCAACTCCACGCCCAGCTCTGACCTTCTTTTCAAAAAACAGAGATAGCACAAACAAATGCCCARCAGGGGATATGACAAAATCCACATTAAACCCTCCCAGGCTATTTTTGGGAGAGAAAACCCCCAGCCTGCCACGCCTCGGCTGCGGGAAGGAAGCAGCTGATGGGCAGCTGATAACCAGGAGATCTGCTTGGTGCGAGGCACAAACCCAAATCAGAGAAAARTGTTAAATAAAGGAAGGGGAAAGGGAAAAAGACAGGTAGGGGAGGGAAACCTGCAGCCACAGCCAGCAGGAAACAGGAGGTGAAGAGCAGGAAATGCAGGTTTAACATCTCAGAGCTGAA